TTCTTGGTATAGACCTGCCCTGGGTAAGGTAGACATGAGGAAGGCTCTCTTGTTTTGGAATAAGAGTGTCTATGACTGGAGTTAAAGAGGAAAAGCTATTGTATTTTAAATTCACATCCTACCCTAATTCATGTTTATTTTCAAGTTAGACAAACTCTTAAATGAAAATGTGTCCATAGAGTGACATGCAACAGTTTATATTGGTTTAAAAAATAATTCTAAGTTAAGGTGGAGAATATTCCACGTGGAACGACATAACCTTTGTCTTTTGGCTCTGCTTACTATATCTTCCCACTCCTTCCTTTGCTCAGACTCCTTTCTTCCTTTTTAACATTTTTACATATAGCTGTACACCAGTTTCACAAAAATTATACTCACTCAGGATATTCTTTTTGTGAAGAGGAGTAAAATATAATTATCATGATATGGATGGGTAAGTAAAGTCAGTGACTAGAGATGGTGCATTTTTATTACAACTTCGTAGGACAATTATACGGAAGAATAAAAAAGAAAATGTGCTATAAACAATTAAAAAACAACAGAAAACAAATTAATCTACTCTGTATTTGAGAGAATTTGTGCATCAGTGTGTTCATCCATTTGTCTGTGAATCCATTTGTTCAAGAACTCCTACTAAAAGGTCAGAGTTAGGACCATCAAATTTGTTAGGCAGCTTCCTCATATCATAAGCAAGGGCAGGGGTTGGTTGTGCTAAGACAATGTAATGTGATTGTTTCTCATCAAATGGAAAAGGAGGAGTGTGATAGTGGGGACACCCATACTTATGAATGACCACAGGGGGGGAGCAACAACTGGGGACAGTTATACTCCAGAATGACCACAAGGAAGCAGCAAGCACTGCAGTCTTGGGGAGGAGCCACTGGCCAGCCCCCCTGTTCTGAGTCCCCCATGCCCTCGTCTGAGTCCTCCCCCACACCCTGCCCTGACTCCTACCCCTCCTACATCCCTAGTCCCCTTGCCACACTGGGTAAGTCTTCCAGTATAATAATAAAAGTAACTCTACAGGAGAGAAAGGAAAGTTTATATACACTTTTGATAGGTAAGAAAAAAAAGGAGAATTATGATGGAGAATTCTGCAGATATACAACAGAGTAAAAAATATATTCATAGGTTACTTACCATCCTAAATAAGCTAAGAAGCAAATGCAATTAATAAAAAATTAGAGATTCATAAAGGACAAGCAGTGATATTTTTTTTGTCCAAACAAGTCTGTAAAGGAGCCAGGTACAGCTGGAAAGTATTATTTAATGAAGATAAGATTGTTTTCCAATGATAGGTGTGTACTATATTAGTTACAGGCTTTACATTTCCATGACCTGACAATTATGTGCATGGCAGACAAAATTATCTCACTGTAGATATGTTTGCAGTTATCCATCTTCATTACAGTTATATATAGTCCATGCAAGACATTCTTAGGTAAAAATAAGAGATTAAGCCATGTAATTTAAGTGCCAGTATCATTAATCATATACTAGAACTGGTTTAAGAGTGAACAAAGTCAAACTAGATAGAAGGTTGCTGTCCCTTGACAAGACTTCATGAAAACTGAAAAATAAAACAGTATTTTAGGTACAAATACACTGTGATATAGTCCCATGATTAAATACAGATTTAATTTGTATTTATTCGCAGAAATATAGTACTTTGTAGAACTGGTCTGAAAAATTCAGTCAAAAATGTTTTTCAACTGAAACTGGGTTTTTGACTCCACAAAGCTTTTATGAAGTGTCTACTTTCTGCAAAATATTTGGATTTTTAATCTTAATTTTTTTCCCAAACCAAAAATATTTTATTTGGACATGCTGCTACAGTATCTTAGAGTATGTCTACACTTGCAGCCCAATTTGAAATAGTGCTGAAAATGTAGGCATTCGGAATTGCAAATCAAGCCCGGGATTTAAATATCCTGCACTTGATTTGCATCTTCCCGGCCGGGCACCATTTTTTTTTTTTTTTTTTTTTTTAAGTAACTGCCTGCGTCTACACGCGGCAGTGAAACGGGCGTTCGAAATAAAGCCCTAGTACGAACCACCTGTT